TTAGGGTCTTAGGGGGTTTAGGGTTTAGGGGGTTTTAGGGTTTAGGGTTTAAGGCTATATGGTTATAGGGTCATAGGGTTTAGGGTTTAGGGTTTAGGGTTTAGGTTCCCCTGTAGTACCCTTTAATGCCCTTTTTGGTTTGGCGTCTCCTTTTTAAAAACCAAATAGTAGTAAAAAGGGCACCCTTACTATTAAGGGGTTACTGGAGAACCTAGAAGGGATCCAAAGGGTCTTAGTACGTAGGGTGTAGGATCTAGGGTTTGAGGGCACTTAAGGGCTCAAGGGACTTAGTAAGTGGGTGTATATTGCCCTAAGTAGGGTTATCCTGATTCTAGCCTTACTTACTACGTCCCATGAGCTTTTAAGAAGCGTTTCGGGTTTAGACCCTTCCAAATTATTGAGCTTGGGGCTCTTGCATAGCGTGTCCTATATACTGCACATGCTTCATAGGCATTGTCTGCATCGTAGTCCGTATAAGGAAGAAAAGGAATATGGGTAGTTTTCTAAATTAGGGTCCCTTTTTATGTTCCCAATATAGTACGGCACCCTTAGAAAAGGACCCTAAAAAGGTACCCTCATTTAGAGAACTGCCCACATTGTCAACGATAAGTTTTCTCTGTGGTTCTGCCCCGTTGTGCTTGAGAGGGACTTGCGGTCTGGGGCGCAGGATCTGGGTTAGGATCAGGGTGCTTAGCCTTAGATAGCCATTGGGAGTATTTTAAGCTTTTAGGCCTTATTATGTTAGGCTTATCCTAAAAAGTTTCAACTACGTAATTGGCCCCGGTATTGAAGAAGAGAGTAGCACGACGATGTTTCTCCCGCTTCTGATAACTGAGCACTCCGCTGAGTGCTAGCATGTTGTTTTCTTCGCGGATTAGCCGATATGTTTCAGTGGTTTCTTGTCATCCGATGCACCATTAGCACAGGTTCCGAACGGCAGGAACAATATCGCTGAGTGTAGCGGCATGAGCGTTGATTCAGGACTCCAGTAGCAATCAAGCAAACAGGTTCAGTGCAACTCATGAATCTAAGGTTGAACCCATGGGCC